TTAAACTGGGTTGTTTGTCTTTTTGTTGTTGGGTTGTAGGAGTTCTTTATATTTTTCTGTATACTAGACAAGGAGCCCTGGATAGTCAGTGGTTCAGCTTAGCTGCTAACCCAAAGATTAGCAGTTCAAGCAACCAATGGCTCCATGAGAGAAAGACCTGGCAATACATTTTCTTAAAGATTAAAGTCAAGAAAACACTGTGGGCAGTTCTGCTCTGTCACATGGGGTCACTATGAAATGAAAATCAACTCCATGGCACCTAACAACAGACCTTTATCAGATTTATTATTTGCAAATATTTCTTCCATTCTATAGGTTGTCATTTCATTTTCTTGACATTGTCCTTTGATGCACAACTTTCTGATTTTGATGGTCTATTTTTTCTTCTCTTGCTCATGCTGTATCCTGAGGCTTGTTATTATTTCTAAGTTCAGTTGACATGGTTCTGACCCATAGTGACCCTATATAGGGGTTTCTGAGGAGTGACGGGTAGGTTTGAACAGCCATCCTTGTGGTTAGCAGTCCAGTGCTTATCCTACAGTGGTTAGCAGTCCAGTGTTTATCCTACAGCATCACACCAGAAGGATATAGTAGCTAATAATACATTGCCAAATCATGATTTTGATTTTTACATCTGAATATCTAATCTAGCTAGAATTTGTTTTGCTGTTAGGAGGGTGGGATGAATAAACAGCTTTTTTTCTTCAAATGGATAACAAATTGTCCCAACATACAAGAGTAAGTAAAAAAAGTATTGCTATAAAATCATAGGAACCTTTATTAAACAAAAACATCAAAATGTGGAGCTGTTGTTTCTGGACATATCTTCTATCTAGGTCTATACATTTCTAAGGTGGCATTTCCATCTCTCTAACCCTTCCCCAAAGAAGTCCTGGTGGTGTAGAGGGTTAAGTATTAGATTACTAACTACAGTGAGTCCTGTTATGGCACTATAGGATAAGCAGTGCACTACTAACCACAAGGTTGGTGGTTCAAACCCACCAAGCCCTCCTTGGAAACTCTATACTGGGTCGCTATGAGTCAGAACTAACTCGATGGTACTTAACAACCACCACAAAGTTGGCAGTTCAAACCCACTAGCCACACTGAGGGAGAATGAGAAGGCTTTCTGCTCCTGTATGATTACAGCCTTGGAAACCCTAGGGAGCAGTTCTGCTCTGTCCTGTCGGGTTACTGTGAATCAGAATCAACTGGATGGCAGTGGGAACCCTTCCCAAAGAATTCTGCACTCTTTGATTTACACATCAACCAGTTTGGCTTCCTTGAGAAATCCTGTTCTGTTCCTTTTTAGTGTTCTTTGAGATTTGGGAACAAAAAAATTTTTGAAGGGGCAAGATCAAGTTGTTGGGGTAAGATTTCCTAAGGAAATTCTCAGCCAGCCCTTGCTACCCTCAAAGAATGAGCAGGTACCTTGTCATGACGGAAAAATATTGCTTAGCACAACTTTCCTGACCTTTTTCTCACCAATGCAATTCTCAATTTTCTTAAAACTTCTTCATAATTGTTGTTGTTATATGCAGTGAGTGGAGTCGGTTCCGACTCATAGCGACCCTGTACAGGGTTTCCGAGGCTGTAAATCTTTACGGGAGCAGAAAGCCTCATCTTTCTCCCACAGAAC